AAAAAAATTCCTCGAAACCTAACTTTTCTTCGAATTTTCTTTGAAACCCAGCTTCTCTTTATATCTCAGAATTTAGCATGACTTCGGTCATCTAATCGTTAACTTGGTGCACTTTCAGATACTTGCATTGTCAATAAGACGCACTATCCTTAGCACATAACTATAACTTATTAGAGTAACACTTTCGCCTTGATCAAGTTTCTAAGTTGAGGCCATTCCAAAAAATTAAATTGTAATTAAATATTACTAATAATGGTAAATTAATAAATAATTGTAACAAACTAATTACTTTATTAGCTAGTGATAGCTTAATAGTAAATTAAATCACTTTATCGTAATTAGTTTCATTATTAGTGCCAACAGCTCAAAATGGAATACTCTTAACATTTTCATTCATTTTATTTGGGGGCATTTATTTAACATTAAGGAATCATGTAGTTAAACACCAATTTTATTTTACCTCACTTGAGCCTTTTTGTTTTTAACTTAGCACTTACAACCTACCAGTGTTTCAATTAAAATTATTATTATGGCGATTGCTTCTCTCACTTTTAATATAGCTGAATTTATTGTTTTATTTTGACACGCATTACTCGAGTGCTATTTTGATCACCAACCCTATTTTCGCATATATTTTACTGTTAAATAAGTCTACTAATATATTTTATCAGACAATGTCATTCCCATTTATATTATTATTTAGCATCCATGTTTGAGTGTTCTCTTGTTTCTTCTTTTGCTACTTTTCTAATGTTGCTCATTTTAAAAAATCCATTCATTTAAGCTTCAAAGAATTTATTTTTATTTTTTCATGTAATTAAAAAAAAATTCTATTATCTTATATCTACATTTCTCAGCTTCCTGAACGCTGCGTAGTCGGCAGAGAAGCCCGCTCGGCGCTAAGCAAAGCTGCTTCCTCTTTTATCCTCTATGTAACTTCGACTGCTGCTGCTCACTGTGAATCTGCTCGACGAAAAACATTATCCGCCAGCGATGTTTTGGCGGCTCTGAAAGACATGCAATTCGGACACCTGGAGCCATTGCTGACTGAATTTCTGCATAGTATGTTACCTCCTATCTTCTTTCAAATAGGATTATTTAAATTATTTAAATATATATATAATTATCTTATCATTACTTTATTCATTTTTACAGGTTGATATTTTTGAATTTGCTTAGCTTTATTTCAAAAAATTGCCCACCTTTATTTAAAGGACCATCAGAGAGACCTTTGAGAATGTGATTTCCAGCATCGGGCAATCGACTTATTACATTCTATAGCGTTTAGTCGCCATCTTTAGCTAGTAGTGTCATCGTCAGCGCAGAGTTACAAATTAGCAAAGCGACATTAGAAGGCAATCAACCTGACCAATTTTCTGTTCAACCGTTGTAGCATCACTTCTCGTCTACATTTTATTTTCTACATTCTAGTGCTGCATCCTAGATTACTAGAATGTTGTTCATGAATGTGTTGGCTGGTATCCCCCATGGTCAGGCCTTTCACCACTTACCTCTGATCAATACGCACAGGCACGCAAACTTATGATATATCCGGCCCATCTATACCTTAAGTCATTTCATGACTTCC